AATTCTTAATTCCAAGTCTGGCTTCCCAGGCTGTTTCCTTCCCTTTCCACATCAGTATCAAGTTTAAGTTCGTTAAACATTCTTTTTTTCCTTCACTCAAGTCATAAAGAAAGAACTGAGCAGTGCAGAAGCAAGGCAGATCCCAGCAAAACCAGCTTCTTCCTTCTCTTTTCCCCTCCATTGTGACAGCATTCCTTTGAATAACTCCAGGATACCTTGGAGTATGCAGTTTTGCATCTCCCTTGCAATTATTTTGTCTAGACCACGTATTCCTTAGCTAACTTATGGAAATACAACAGGAGACTGTTTCAGAGGCCTACCTGAAGGTACACGGTATTTACAGCTTCTGCTCTTTCCAGAAGCCCCAACAGCTTATTTTGCATTGGCCTGACAATATTTGTCCTTCAGAAATCGTGTTGGCTGTTGCTTACCTCTTAGCCCTGAGGAGAAAAAACCCTCCCTCAGCCCGGGAGCAGGGGAAAAGAAAACTTCCTGCTGTCCCATCTCGTAGCAATCTGCCTGACAAAGGCTGCTGTCTGCCTGTCATCCCACACCAGACTTCAGTCATTCCTTACAATTAAAAAAAAAAAGAGGGGCCAGCAAAATTGTGATAAAAGGTTTGTTTAAGAGTATTGCTAGGAAGAGAGTAGTATATTCTGGTGATAGATGGACTGGATTAGGTATTTACCCAGGAACTGGGAGCTTCATCCCTTTCAGCCTAGAGGGCTAAATCCACATCAGCCTTACACCTGTAGATTCTGCTCGCATGCCCTCTGTTTTCCTGAAGCAAAGCTGCTGCAGGCATTGACTGCGGAACTGCAAAAGTAATTCTCCTAGAAACAAAGAGAAGAAAGCGATTCCCTTGGCAAGTTAATAGAGCACTTGTAATGAGTGAGGTGTAAATCCTGGTTCCTTCTCCCTGCTCCCAGGGCTTCACATGATCACTAGGTTAAAAAAAAAAAAAAAGAAAAAAAACCCCTCCAGAACCAGCTCATGGGATAGAGACCAGCATCTGCCATGGGCATCCGGTTTCTTAACTATGCTGGTGTTGGAAGCAGCTGGCAGAGCATCAGTGGGAAGGCAGAAGAAAGCGCAAACACTGTGTGTTCGGTTGGGGAAGAATGGCAGGAGGTGCAAGTGGAACCATGTAATATAGTGACAAGTGAATTAACTGAATACTGCGTGTCTGTAAAGTGTAATGAATTTATTTAGGAGTATCCTTCTGTCTCCGCAGGTAAGGTAATGGATGCACGTTACAAAACTGAACAAACGGGTAGCAATACAATTAATGCACTTTCTCCAAGAATAGGCACGTACCTTAAGTGAGATGACAGTCACCTGGATGAGTGTTCTGACCTTCTTCACGAGGTCAGGAGAAGTTCCCATCAGCCAGGAGCCCTAGCCAACAATAAGCCTCATCCAGGCCAGAGAGAGATGGGTCTGCACCGGGTGGGAGTTAGCATCCTCTTCTGCAGTGTCCCCACAGACCCCGAGTTCCAGTGAGCGCTGTCAGGATTGGCTGAGCTAGAGATTAGGACTGACAGTGCCTGAAGCTCAAGAATTTCACGTGACGGAGATGGCTCGGGTTGTGGTTTGGAGGGAACAGTGGTTGCAAAGCTTAAGTTCGCACTCGGGAGCGCTGAGGTTTGATGGTAGCTTGTGGTGTCAGGTGCGTGTTAACCAGGAGTTTGTTTTTTTGAGACAGACTAGTCGGTAGAGCTCCCCGTTGTTTCTGCGGCGGGGGGAGCGCAAAACATTTGCTGAGGTGAGAACAGCGAGTAGGGTAAGCCGCTCAGCTTTGCTCCAAGACAGATGATGCTCTATTCCTGGAAAACATGATGGCAGCAGCCTGTTGGATTTAAAGTACAGGTTCATGTTAATGTAAGAATGAAGAGAACGTTTCCAATAGTTACTTTTCAGAGTGAAATTCCAGGGTGAAGGAAAAAAGAAAATGATGCCTGATACAGATGCCTGCTACTCCTTGTGCTTAGGCAGACAGGGGTGGAGTTACTCTGCAGATAGGCTCTTTATCCTGGCTTGGAGCAGGAACGACTAGACTGAGAGGCTTAGGTGTCTGTTTCACCATTTTCCAAACCCCTTGGTGTTGTACCAGTTAACACAGTCCAGCTTTTTCTTCTGATTGAACCTTCCAAGAAACACGTCTGTGAAGCTTTTTTTTCCTTCACGACTGTGTTGTAATATTCTAAACTGATTTTGTTGTACACAATCTAACTACGTTCCTTCTAGCTAGACTTAGCTGGGCGTCTCTCTCCAGATATTTATGACTGCTCCTAGTTGCCTCGCTGGATAGACCAGGTGGTGTATAACTGCTCATAAATACAGTCCTTTCTGTCTCGTCTTTGTTTTCATAGCCCTGAACGTGTTATCAACACGCTGAGCCAGTAAGGCGTTATGCATAGAAATGGTGAGGTGGGAGGCAAACAGCAACATTAGATCCTCAATGCGATTACTCAGAATCGGGCATTCAGAGTGAACCCCGTGACATACTGGGGAAAAGATCCGTAAAGGCACTAGCTGAGTGTGTGAGATGAAGTTTGGCTTAGAAAATTACAGAGACTGGAAGGAGGGGAAAAGGTAAGGCTGACCTAAAAAGAAATGAAGTAGATGGACACCATAGCAGAGATACCAGGATTTCTCTCCTAGAAGAAGGAATAAGATGGAAAACTCAGCAAAGGAAAAATTTTGTGATTCTGTTGACCAGCAGATGGTACATGGTGGGAAGGATTTTTTAATCTGTCTCTAAGCATCTGCTGTACGTGGATGAGCCGAGCTGATCTCCCTAAGATTCTGCATGCACATCTGTAATCTGGTTATTCTCAGAACCAACTGGACCAGTACCACAAGAGTCCCACAGATTAGGCAGCGATGCTTCAGCACCTGGTGGAGGAGAATCCTGGGCTACGGATGTTGGTACAATGACATGGAGAGAGAACTAAGTGACATACCTGAAAAGAATTCCAGACTGTGAGATGGAGAGCTGAGGGAAGCAGCCTCCCAAGCAGAGTGTTCTTTCATACTTCAGCCTCACCAGAAAAAGTGCAACTAAAAATGAAACGGGTAGGAAGCAGTCTGCTGGCTGGGGAAAACAACCTCGATGATTTAATGGCCTTTTTGTCTCTCTAACATCTGGATTCAGGGAGTTAATCTCAGCTAGTGGCATTCTGAATCTGCTGATCCAGTGCTAAATCAGGGAAACTGGGAATTCACAAAACGCACAGCTGCATGGGTAACGTTAGAAGGCAACACGCATTACAACTGGCAGT